CACTTTGCGTCACATGTTGAGCCAATTCCATAAATTGCTTAGGTGAGTAGTATATAAGCAATTTCTCTTTCAATGCTTCATTAGAAAAGGACACGCAAGCTCTACAATGCCTTTCATCCTCAGCCACTTGTTGAAGTGTTTCCTCTCTCTTTTCAAATAGATTTTTCCATGCCTTTCTTGCTTCCTCTTTAGCATTTTTAAGACCTTTTATCTTTCCTTTATTTTTCAATTCGTGTAAATAAACATGCAATTTATTAAGCCTTAACTGACATGCATCCCTTCCCTTAACCATGTTTGTCAATTGTTAAGTGTAAAAAGTACAAGTCCTACACAATTGTGTGACATAGGGTTAGGTACTACTTGACATTCAACACAATTCAGTCACAATGTAATCATGTGTGTTCTGTGTGTTAGCATGATCATTGGCATGTGATTGTCCCATACGCATGTTTGTTAGCATGATCACACATTATTTTACATGGTATCACATAATGGTTAACATGGAAGGTAGGTTAGGCTATAGGCAGGTGTATTCATTTTACAAGAAATTTAGTGCAAGTAACATGTAATCTTCACACATCTAACTTTGTTCATGGGTCAATTCACATGAAATTTTGCAACAGCATAAGGTTTGGGCAATTGAAAGTTCACGGTCAATCTCATTTTCATGTTTTCGAATAAGCCTAAACAACATAAAGAACAAAGGGAGAAACAAACAATAGGAAAACAGAACAGTGCTTGCTTGAACAAAAAGGAAGCTTTCAAACAAAATGCATACCTAGACGTCATCACTTAGGTCGCCACCACTTTGAAGGCTCAAGACTCTTTCTAAAGGAGCTCAAAACCTTTGGCTACAAACTTATCGATCACAAGCCGTGCAATTGGGGCACCATGTGAATAGATGGGATTGCCTTTCTTCATGCTCATATCCCACAACTTGGTCACACCTTACACTGCTATTGATTGTCCATTGGAGGCATCCCTCACCATTTTCTCTCATTCAAATCGCACGAAGAAAAGAAGGAAAGAGGGTAACTTCTTTTTTCAAAATCTTGGTTTCAACAAGGGCATTTTGGTCCAACCATAAATTGTAAAATGAATAAAAAAATCATCTTAGTCCTTCAATGGAATTTGATCCCTGAGACTAATTTCAATTCCAACCTGGTCCTTTTGGCCAATTTTCCTAAATAATAACTTAAGATATAATAATTATGAAATATATTTATCTAATTTATATAAATAAATAATTAATATTATAAATAAAATATGTAATGAAAAATATAAGAGAGGTGGTGTTTCCAGTATTTGGAAATGCCACTTCTCTTCAAATATTTATTTAAACTTTTATATTTTAACAAATTATTAATTAATTAAATTAAATTAAAATATTTATGTATACAAATTATTAATTCATGATAAAATAAATATCTTTTATTTGTTTAACTATTTATAGAGTTTCTAGGTATTACTATGGGAATATTTTCTTTTATCTTACAGGACCTCCTGTAAGATAAAAGAAAATCCTATAAGATAAAAGAAAATATTCCCATACTAATACCTAGAAACTCTATAAATAACTCCAGTATAGGATACACATTAGCAGGAGTAGATTTCACACCAAATATACCAAAACCAATATATAAAGCAAAAACCTCTAAAATCAGAGATGAAGAAAATTAGAAGAAAATATAAAATTAGAAACCAAATCACAAATAGAAAAGAAGGATTTGAATTAGATACAGAAATACTTAGAAAAATGTTTATGTACCTAGAAAATAAAGATAAGAGAAATTGTTACTTTAAGAATTTTTCCTCAAAAGAGTTAGAAGAAATAAAAGAAGATTATTACACAAAACTTTAACAACTTAGAGAACATATAGATTTTTTTAGATGGTTAGAAACTTACACCTACAATAATAAAATGTTTAACCCCTTTAGTAAAAATAATCACCCTTCGGTAAATGTTAATACAGTAAGAACAAGAAATTGGAGAGGTAGAAACAATACTTCAGTAATAGCTATACGTCCTCCTTTAGAAGAAATAACTTTTAAGGTCTCTGAAAGGGCTTTCTAGTTGATCACTAACCTTGGCATTCTCCTTTCGAGCTTATTTCTATTAGTGACGTATTTTGGAGCACTGAACCATGGACTCTTACTTGGCTTAATTGGGCCCTTCTTCAAGAAATCATCCATTTATTTCTAATTCAACTTTAGGAAAAAGTGATATTGTACCTCACCCTTAAAGTTAATAAACCTTCAAGACCATAAAAAAATTGCCAAAAAATAATATAGCAAAATAATTATACCAATACAGCCACACATACTATACCAATACAGCCACACATAATATAGGACAACAACTTAATAGATTAGAAGATAGATTAGAACACAAACCAATAGAATTAGAACCCACAGCTATAAATCCACAATGACAAGTATTTAAGTACAAAGCTATTCCCATAGAACTAGAGCTGGTAATTCAGGGCGGGCTTATTCGGATCAGGCTTGAAGTATCTTACCTCTTCTAAAAAGCCCATATAATCAAGTCTGGTCCTAACACCTTCGGGCTTCAGGCTTATTCGGGTCGGCCTAAATACCAGAAACTTTTGAAAAATATTTTTTATTTTTAAAACTAATTTTAAATTTTAAATAATTCTATTAAGCATAGAATATTATTTTAACTTTAAAAGAATAAAATAAAAAATAACTTATTAACTTTGTACTTAAGTATCTTTTTTGTTGTTTTGTTATATTGTGTGTAATTTTTTCATGAATGTTTCATTTACTTGTAAATTAATGTCTTAATTATTTAAATATTGCTTTTATCATAGACATATATAAATATTTTATATTTTTTAATTAAATTATATTATTTTAATTATGATTAAGTTGATCTCAATTTAATCAAGGTTAGACTACTAACTTAAAATTATTATCCTGATTAGTTCAAGGTTTTTAATAACTTTTGAGTACATTGTACTTTTCATTTTTATGAATATAAGAAAAATAGCCAATATTATATTATATAAAGCAAAATTATTTAATTATGAGTAAAATATTATTCTTTTGAATTGTTTTTCTTTAACTTTTTATATTGTTTAACTCTTAGATATAAGGGATTTTTACTCTAATTTATTTTTAATTTTTAACCAAGTATAACATGGATAATAACCAAGTAATTATTCAAGAATATTATTCTACTTATTATGTTTATTTAGTAGTAGAGTCAAGAATTCGTACATGCCTAAATTTTATTTTTAAAATTATTTTTACTTTAAAATTAATTACTTTAATTGATAAAAATATAAAAATAATTTTTTATATGAAAATCATGTATAGGACTCAAATTTGAAAAAAACATTGGGTCTTAAAATATAAAAATTAATATTAAAATATATTTTAAATATTATTTTGAGATATTTTATTGATTAAAAATAATAAAAATATGAAAATGTAACTAATTTTAATTTTTTTAAAAAATAACTATATTAATACACTCAAATATATTGTATTTTGGTGTGAAATGATATAAAATTTAAAAAATTAATTAATATTTATCATATTTTATATTTTTAAAATTATTTTTTATTTGGGTATTCGGGCCAAGCTTGAACCTGATCAGGCATGGTCCAAATTTTTTCAAGCCTATTTACACCGCTCAAATAGGCTCGAATAATAAAAAATTAATATTTTTTTGGGATTAGCCCTAAATTTTTTGGACAAATTCAAGCTGGCCCAATGATGTTAAACCTGGATTAGACCGGACGGTCCAACCGGTCCGACCGTCACCCGGTGACTAAAGCGGTCTGGTTCAACCAATTGAACCACTTAAGCTATTGAACCGGATTGAACCGGGAAGAACCGTTCGATTTTCATTGAACCAGAACCCGAGTCCGGTTCAACATGGGTCAATCCGGGTCAATTTAAAAAATGAAAAAAATTACTTTAGGGCTTCTACGGTTCTGACTTCTACTTCTACACTTTTTCTTCTGCCGTTCTGCGCCACTGAGACTGAGTTGAAGTCTGAACTCTCAAGTCTCAACTCTGAAGGCTCAAGCACAAACACTGGCTGCTCTCTCCCTCTGTCACGCCATCTCGCCTCTCGCGCCTTTGGTTCTGGTAGACTCTAAACTCCATAAAAGAACAAACGCGAGCTCACTCTTGCCGTCTCAGATCAAGGTGATCAGTAAAGTGAGGAGGAATAATGAAATACTCTCTGCTGCTCTCTTCACCTGGCGGTCCATGAAGCACTTTCGTTTTGTAGCTCGCCGACCGTCGCATTCCCCTGTGATTTATCACGACTTCATTTTCACCACTGTGGTGCTCGGCCTCAGACTCAGTCTCAAAGGCTAGAGATCGTTTTCCTCCAATCTGGTGAGTCTGGTCTCTCTCTCGCTTTTCTCTGTTTCTCATCTTCAATGATCAACTGATCAAGCTTAAAATTTGAAATTTTAATTCATATCCTTCTCACATCTTGCTTGTTACTCTGAGCTCGTGCCTCTGCCTCTGCCTCCACTCAAGTTGCCTCTAGCTCCTCCCAGCTCCAGCTCGTGCCTCTGCCTCTGCATGATTCTCATTTTACTCCAACTTGTTTGATTCTTGGTGTGCTCTACTCTCCTTCCAGGTTCAATTTTTAGCTTATATGTTCTATTTATGTATTTGAGTTTGTAATTTGTATAATGAGTAGTATGTATGCACAATTCGTCCAGGACTCCAGGCAACTTGTTTGCTTTATTTTTCATTACTTTGTTATTTATTGATATGGAATTCTGAATATGATCTAATTTCGCTCTCTTTTTCACGTTTTATTTGTGCTTTCAATTTAAATTTAGAAAATGTCATCTGAACAAATATCTAGTACTGCATCTACATAATCTGTTAGAACTAAGTCAGATCCTACATAGGAGCATTGCACTGAAATACCAAATGAAAAAGGTGGCAAGCCTCGCTTAAGATGCCTATACTGTGGAAAGGAATTTGGTGGTGGTGGAATACACATAATGAAACAACACCTTGCTGGAAAAAAAGGAGATGCAACTAGTTGTAAAAGTGTGCCACATGATGTTCGCTATCGATTGGAGGAAAACTTGAAAGAAATTGATCAAAAGAGACCAGCTAAGAAATTGAGAAAAGAAGAGGACAATCCATTGGAAGTGGATGATGAAATTGTGCAAGAAATAATTCCTTCAAGTTCCTCTCAACTAGCCAAAAAAAAGGCATCTACAGCTGGAGACAAATTCTTCGCCCCAAGGACAAGTTCGGGAGCACAGCTAGGAATTCGAAGTGCATTTGCAGGTAAAGAAGCTTTACATAGAGCGGATTTAGCTGTGGTTAGGTGGTTGTATGATTGTTGCATTCCTATGAATGCTGTAAATTCTATTTACTATCAGCCCATGATAGATGCTATTTCAGCTATTGGCCCTGGTTATAAAGGACCAACTTACCATGCTGTGAGAACAAATTATTACAAGACATGAAAAAGGAGGTGCAATTATTAGTTGATGAATGTAGAAGCTTTTGGGCTGAGACTGGATGTACAATAATGGCTGATGGTTGGCAGGATCAAAGAAATAGACAGTTGATTAATTTTCTTGTTTATTGCCCTAGAGGAATGGTTTTCATTAAATCTGTTGATGCATCGGATATTGTTAAGAATGCTCAAAATCTTTGTAACTTATTCATGGATATGGTTGCTTTTGCTGGTGCAGACAATGTTGTCCACTTGGTAACTGATAATGCAGCTAATTATAAAGCTGCTGGAAGGTTGTTAAATGATAAGTTTCCTTCTATTTTCTAGTCTCCTTATGCTGCCCATTGCTTAAATTTGATTTTATCAAATATTGGCAAAATGGAGATTGTTAGTAGCTTAGCAACATGATCATCCATGGTTTCGAAATTCATTTACAACCATGTCTTTTTGCTAGCTTGGTTAAGGAAAAGAGAAGGTTGGATAGAAATCATCCAACCTGGTGCAACACGGTTTGCCACTACTTTCATTGCCTTGAAAAGTATTTATGAGCACAAGCATGATATTCAAGCTTTAATAACAAGCAAGACATTTGTAGAATCTAGATACTACAAGGATTCAAAGGTAAAGGATGTGACAATGATTGTATTAGACAATCAGTTTTGGAATTTTGTTGAAATTGTAAAACCACTTGTGAGATTGTTGAGAATTGTTGATTCTGATGACCGGCCTTCACTTGGGTATGTTTATGACAGCATGTACAGAGCAAAAAGAGCTATAAAGAATACTTTCAGGTACAAAAATCCTTATACAAGCCTTACACAAGTATTATTAAGAGAAGGTGGGATTCTCAACTTCGACAAAATCTTCATGCAGCAGCATATCTCTTTAATCCTGCTTTCCTTTATGATAAGGAAAATTTTTCTAGAAAGCCAAAAGTTATGCAAGGATATCTTAATGTGATAGATAGAAAAATTTCTTCTAATAAGACCAAGTTTTTGTTAGAAGGCACACAATACTAAGAAAGATGTGGAAGCTTTAGTCATCCATTGGCTATAGAATCTGCAAAAACCATACGACTTGGTATACTTTTATCTTTGATATTTATTATTTTTATCTTTAAAATATATTCTAATGACTTATTTTTTCTCATGATAGATGAATGGTGGAAACATTTTGGGAGCAGCTGTCCAAATGTTAAAGACTTGACTGTTAAGATATTAGGCCAAACTGCATCTTCCTCGGGCTGTGAAAGGAACTGGAGTGTCTTTGAAAGAATACACTCCAAGAAAAGGAATAAGTTGGAGCATGAAAGATTGAATGATCTTGTCTATATTCATTACAATTTTCGATTAAGGAATAGGTAAATTATTCAAAATTTTTCTTTCATTTGTAGTTATAAAAAATAAGTTACATGAATCCTTATACTTTATTACTATCGTGTGTTTTTATTAGAGTTGCTAACAAGAAGAAAGCTTTGGACCCTATTGATTATGAAAGTATTGATCAGATTGATTATTGGGTAATGGAAGAAGATGATTGTTCTTTGCTCAATATTGATGATATAGAATGAGATCTCATTTATGATGACACAGTGCTACCAAAAGCTATTATTCATCAAGAGGATGAGGAAGGTTTGGTATTTTTTACTTAATGTTTTCACTTTTTTTTATCAATTATCATGTGATTCTCATTAATTTGATTATATACATTGAATATTTGTTTGTGAAGATAATGAGCAAAGAGGCAACGTGGCACATGGTGAAACTATTAGTGGACTTGATTTACAATTATTTTCTCAAGAGGATGTTGATAGCTTTAGTGAAGATGTTGATGCCTTTGAGCCTGCACATGCTTGGATTAACCAAGATCCCCCAATATTTGATAAGCCATGAAAATTTAAACTTATGAGTAATGATGTTGTGAACTTGCAATGATATGTTTGAGACATATCTTTTGGATTTGTGGTATCTTTGTTTGAGACTTTGAGCAATTAAAACATGTTTGAGACTATATTTTGAATTCGTGATGTCATTGTTTAAGATTTTGAGCAATTAAAACATGTTATGCAATGTGAATTTATGGTGTTGCTTGATATATTATTGTTTTTTTTTGTCAAATCAATGTCTTATATATATATATATATATACACATATAAATATTATTTTTTATTTAATTTTCATGTCACTGGTTTGACCGCCGGTCCAACCGGTTGAACCGTGAGAACCGTGACCTGCTGTCCTTTCCGGTTCGATGTTCGGTCCGGGTTTCAAAATATTGAGTTGGCTTGTTGGGCTTAATCTAAATTATCAGCTCTTCATAGAACAAGATAGAAACATAACTTGTATAATTTTTTAAAAGTATACATACATCATGCTTAGAGATAGTTAATTATCAAGCCATATAAAACTAATTAATTAAGTTAAATTAAGATTGTTATTTATCTAACAACATACAAATTAAAAATATTATCATTAATTATTATAATTAATAAAATTAACAGAATAAATTAATTACTAAATGAAAGAAAAATTTAACATTAAATATAGAGGCCACCTGCATTATTTTCAAATTATGATAAATAATAATAGATATTAAATTTTAAATTTATTTTTCTAAATTGCATAAAATAAATATTTAATTTTATAAATAAATATGTAACGGCAATATAAGAGATTATTAATTAATTCCTTCAAATATTTATTTAAAACGTTACATATTTATTAAAGTTATAATTAATTAAATTCAATTAAATAATTATATATCTATAAATTAATAACTGTTGATTAAATAAATTTTATTATGATAATTATCTAAACCTATAAAACTAATTAATTATGAAAATTAACTAATTATTGAAAATAGTATAATTAATTATATAATTAAGCGAATTAAAATAAATTAATCACTACATGCAATTTAACATTAAATATAGAGGCCACCTAAATTATTTTCAAATCATGATAAATAATAATAAATATTAAATTCTAAATCAATTTATCTAGATTACGTTAAAAAAATATTTTACATTCTAAATATAATATGTAATAAAATATAAGAGAGGTGGCGTTTTCTATATAGAGAAACGCCACCTCTCTTCAAATATTTATTTAATAATTAAATATTTATAGAATTTTAAATTAAATTAAATGAAATAATTATATATCTACAAGTTAATAATTTATGATTAAGTAAATTATATTATGATAATTGTCTAGCCATATAAAACTAATTAATTAAGACAATTAATTAAGTAAGTTAAAGTAACGTTATTATTTATCTAATAACATATATAATATAGATTAAAATTTATCATTAATTATTATAATTAATAAAAATATAGTAGACTTATCATTAAATATAGTGGCCCCCTTGCATTAATTTTAAATCATGATAAATAATAATAGATATTAAATTTCAAATCTATTTATCTAAATTACATAAATAATTATTTAATTTTGTAAATAGAAAATGTAATATAAATATAAGAGAGATGGCATTTCGGGTACATAGAAATGCCGCCTCTCTTCAAATATTCATTTAAAATTTTTTATAGTTACTAAAGTTTTAATTGATTCAATTAAATGAAATAATTATATATATCTACAAATTAATAACTATTTATTAAATAAATTATATTATGATCATTATCTAAACCTCGAAAACTAATTAATTATGTAAAATATTATAATTAATAAATATAACTGAATAAATTAATTAGTAAATGAAATAAAAATTTAATAGTAAATACAGAGGTCACCTGCATTATTTTCAAATCATGATAACATTAATATTTAATATTATAAATGTAATATGTAATGAAATATAAGAGAAGTGGCATTTCTAGTGCATAGAAATGCCACCTTTATTCAACTATTTATTTAATAATTTATATATTTATATAATTTTTAATTAATTAAATTAATTTAATAATTAGATATCTACAAATTTATAATTTTTGATTAAATAAATTATTTTATGATAATTTTCTAAACCTATAAAACTAATTAGTTATGAAAATTAGTTAATCAAGTTAAAGTGAAATTTTTATTTATCTAATAACATATAAAATACAAATTAAATATATTATATATAATTGATAAAATTAACAGCATAAATTAATTACTAATATATAGTAAAAACTAAACATTAAATATAGAGGCCACCTGCATTATCTTCAAATCATGATAAATAATAAATTTTAAATCTATTTATCTAGGATACATTAAATAAATATTTGAAATTATAAATAAAATATGTAATGAAAATATAAGAGAGGTAGCATTTCCAGTACATAGAAACGCCATCTCTATTCAAATATTTATTTAAAAATGTATATATTTATTAAATTTTTAATTTAATTAAATTAAATATCTTCAAATTAATAGTTGATGATTAAATAAACTATATTATGATAATTATCTAAACCTATAAAGCTAATTGATTATGAAAATTAGTTAATTAAATTAAAGTAAAATTGTTATTTATCTATTAACTTATATTACACTGATTAAATATAATATAATTAACAAAATTTTCAATATAGATAGGTTTCATTTCGTAGGTTTGGAAATGCTACTTTTCTTTTTTTTTATTTAGGAATACAAATATATATTAATTATTTATTAAAAATTAATAAATAGATAGAGAGTTAGCATTTCCTTTTTCTTGAAATGCCACCTCTTCGCTAGTGATTTTACCAAAATAATAATATATATTTATTATTAATCAAATTTAATAAATTGTAATAAAACAATTTTTAATCTGAAATAATAAACAATATTAAAGAGGTGGCATTTTAAAGCACCGAAAAACGTCACCTCTCTTATTTTAATTTATATTTGAGTAAAAAAGTAGATAGATAGCATTTTCAAACTTCTAAAACGCCACTTATCTGAATTTAATTTATTAATTAAGAATATATATTTATTATTAGTTATAATTAAATAATTACGTCTAAATTACTTTATGATGTAATAAAACAATTAGACAAATTAGATAGGCAATGTTTCATTACTGAAATGTCACTATGTGTGGGATTAACTAGAAGCTGTGGCACTTAATTTTAATAAATGCCACTTATTATTATTTACTAAAATTTAAAAAAATGAGTAATTTATAAGTAGTGACATTTGATATAAAAAACACTACCTAAAACCTTTGGATTTTAATATTAGTAATGCTTTGTTTTTCATTATTATAAAATGCATGCTATTAAATTTCATTTCTATAATAGTGCAACATAATGAAAGTATTTATATATTGAACCTTTAATTAACAAAATGTCCGTCGTTTGCCTATGAAATAACCTTATTTATAATTAATTTGTGTTAAATTAAAATATATATACAATGATTTTTGGCTTTAATCTCATCATTTTGCATAATTTGATGTTTTGTGGCTTTACCAAGCCTTCTCATGGGCTTTGAAATCACTCTGTCATTCTCTCCTCCTTTCTCTTGTATGGTTATGATCAATATGCATTCACAACTTTTAGGAAATAATGAGTATAATTTGAGAGAGGCTATTCCCATGAATCATGATTATTTATAGCAAGCCAAAACATAATTACATATACTTGAACATATGATGATTATTATAGAAAAAGATTATTATTGGGAATCTTAAAGAATTGAAGCAAATATATCAGCTATGTCACGCCCCAAAATAGAGGGTGACCGGCACGGGTGTGAATTACTTTCACATTCCCGTAAGCCTTAGAATGAATATTTATTTCATTCCTCAAGAAATGCAAAGTTCAATTAAATCATATGAGAATTTAAACAGCTTTTTAAATTCATTATCATAAAAACTGTCAACGTTTTTGTAGAAATTTCGGCAGAACCTCCCCTGTAATTAGGATCTCCCAAAAATTCTACAACAAAATTTTTTTACAATAACAGTATAATTCAGGAGCATAGCTCCTCCCAGCCATCAACCAATATACAGACCATAAATAAGGTTTATTCACCATCTATGTGGAGCATCTACTTTTTCTTTCAAATCAAAATGACATACCAATCATATATTTACATTAAAATTACAATACCAATCAAAAAGGGTCCACCCACTGTAGCTAATTGCCCTTTCTGAGGTCGTTGGTGGGATCAGCGTCAGCTAACAAATCTGAGACCAAAATAATTTTTCCAGTGAATAGCATTCCCATAAAATTTCTTAAAATTTTTAATCAATAAATTTCAATAATAGTGTCAGCTAGTTAAAAACAATGCTATCAAAATTTATAAACACATGAATCATAACCATATTTATGAAATAAGAGTAAATTAAGAATAATTTATGTTATCATGCTTAAAGAAAATGATCTGTTCTCATATAACTCAAAATGATACTAATTATTAGTTAAAACCAGATAATTTCGAAAACATATATTAATTCACATTTAAAATTTTGAGAACTCAACAGAAAAAGTTACAAACGTGAACACTCAGTTCACGAGGGTAAATAACCAAACACGGCTTCTGCCACGAAAACAAACGTGGACACACCAGTCCACGAGGGTAAATAACCAAACGCAGCAGTAGCTACGAAACAAACGTGGACACACAGTCCACGAGGGCAAGTGACCAAACACGGCTCAAGCCACGGAATCAAACGCGGTATGAAGCCCATGAATACCAAACGTGAGAATAAAACTCACGAAACAAACTAGCTAGTGTTTAACCACAGCGCGCTACGGGCTAACGGAACTGCCGTTAACAACAGTGTTCTGATTTGAGTCCTCTTAAAAATCACGTTTCAAACATACGAGAAGAATAATTGTTGCTGTAATAAAATTACCATTCTCAATGCCAAACTCGCATGAACTGTTTCAATTCTCAAAATTTGCAAAAGTCATATTTTTATGGCTAATATACCAAACTTGCAGTAATTGGATAGCCAATACATTCCGAAGCTTAACAACCATACAAAAATACTTTCATCAATCCGGAAAATACACTTTTGAAAATAATAAGTGCACATATCATAACTCATTTGTCCTTCATTGTCATTGCATAATTTTCAAAACTAATATAATTCATAAGAATAAAATATTCCAGAAAAAGGCTATTAAAATAAATTAAATGGAATGCTATTCACTTACTTGTTGAAGTTTCAAATTCTTAAAATATTCCTTGCCTTTAATTCTGGTCAGGATCTCGTTCTTCCTCGCACCCTATCAGAATATATATATATATATATATAAATAAAAATAAAATTTTTAACATAATTCCAAATCAATCACCATTATAATTAGAGTTGATCCAAGTGTTATCGTTAACATCACTAGTCCCCATCAATTTCGTTTTAGTTAAACCATCCATTCATGATTCCATAGCTTGCATACTTATATACTTCTCCCACCAAACTTTATCCTTCATACTTGCAACCTTCCCCATATATATATACATTTATTTTTATAGGTTTTGCACCAATTACTTTAGGTGCATAAATTCTACTTAATTAAATTAATTATCCAAATCACTCTCCTCCTCCCTTACCTTAATAGTTTCTTTAATCATATTCAATTCAACTCAAATCCATTTAGCCCATAAAATTATGACCCAGACCCACACACATATATATAGCAAGTCTTTGAACAAACTTCCAACTTAAATTTGAATCTTCTCCCTCCTATAACAGCATGGCATAATAGTAACAAGAAGCATGCATGATATATATACTCCTCTCTCTCTCTCTTTTTTTTCTCAGCCACGTACAGCCATAAACAGTCACAGGGAAGCCAAGTTCTTTTTTGTTACCGGTTCACATATATATTGAGTAAAACGTGAAGCCTTCTCACCTTGACTCACCACAACAGAAAACCAGGATGAAGAAATTGAAACAGCCGGTTGAACAGGGGAGATATAATCCAAACACTGTCACGATGCACAGCAACGAAAGGAGCTTGACTCCACAGCACCGATACAAGCTTACAATAATAGCTCTACTCTAGTTTTGATGCTTTGTGATTTTTTCAGCTCAAAACACACGGACTGAACAGCATACAGAAAAATGCAGAAACAGGGAACACGTAACGGTAAAGCAGAGCATAAAGCTCACAGTTGAGCTGGGAAAGAAAAGAATCATGAATCCAGCTCCAACAACTAAGTCTCACAGTGGCAGCAACCCAACTGACGATAGAAACCGAGCAGCGACCGAACTCAATGAAGACAGCCAGAAACAGACAGAGAACGATAATAAAGACAGGGAACACAGAAAAAAACAAACCAGAGAAACTTTAGCTTCGACTGCACCAGCCACCACCGTGAACAACAAGGAAGATGAGTCGGTGATCTCTGAAACAAGAAAAGGTCAGAGGTATAGGAAGGTTAAGTCGGTCATATTCTCAGGCTCTCATTCTCTCTCTGTTTTTCTGGAATGGCCGAGGAAGAGAAGGAAGCTTTTATCATTTTTTGAAAAGGGAAATTTTGTAATTTCAAAGAAGCTGAAAAAAATAAAATTCCCTTTTTGTTGCATCAGGGATTTGAACCGGAAACCTTCAGTTGCTTGGCATACATTCTTCCATTCTACCAATACTCCTTATTGTTATAATTATCCCTAACATAACTAAAATATATTCATATAATTAATTCAATAAGTATATATATATATATAGATTATTTAAGGCTATTACATTCTTCCCCCTTAAAAAAATTCGGTCCTCCGAATTTAAATTTATACTTACCTTAATCCTCAAAAAGGTATGGATACTTAGCATGCATATCCGTTTCGACTTCCCACGTAGCTTCTTCTTTAGAATGGTTACGCCATAGCACTTTCACCGAAGCAATTTCTTTCGATCGCAACTTTTTAACTTGTCGATCCAAGATAGCCACTGGAACTTCTTCATAGGACAAGTCTGGGGATATTTGAGTCCCCTAAATTTCAATTACATGAGAAGGGTCATATAAATATTTTCGTAGCATTGATACATGAAATACTGGATGAATACCCGATAGTTCAAGCAGTAACGCTAAACGATGAGCAACTGCACCAATTCTTTCTAAAATCTCAAATGGACCCACATACCTTGGGCTAAGTTTACCTTTCTTTTCGAACCTCATAACCCCTTTCATAGGAGATACTTTAAGGAATACTTTATCCCCGACTGTGAATTCTAACTCCCAACGTCGATTATCAACATAAGACTTCTGTCGACTTTGGGCTATTATTAATCTTTCTCTAATTATTTTTACATTCTCAATAGCATCTTGCACCAAATCTGGTCCCAACAGCTTAGTATCGCTAACATCAAACCATCCAATAGGAGACCTACATTGCCTGCCATAAAGTGCTTCATATGGGGCCATTTGTATGCTAGATTGATAACTGTTGTTATAAGCAAACTCTACCAAAGCTAAGTAACGGTCCCAACTGCCACCAAAATCCAGAATACAAGATCTTAACATATCTTCAAGTATCTGAATGGTTCTCTCAGACTGGCCATCAGTTTATGGGTGAAAAGCAGTACTGAGATCTAATCGAGTGCCCAAAGCTTCTTGGAAAGATCTCCAAAATCGGGAAGTAAATTGAGGACCTCTATCAGAAATTATGGATATTGGAATTCCATGCAATCGCACAATCTCATCAATATATAATTGAACATATTTATCAACATTATATGTTGTCTTTACTGGAACGAAATGAGCTGATTTCGTCAGTCTATCAATAATAACCCAGATAGAATCATACCCCTTAGCAGTGCGAGGTAACCCGGTGACAAAGTCCATTGTAATATTTTCCCACTTCCATTTTGGTATTTCTAACCTTTGGTGTAGCCCAGCTGGCTTTTGGTGTTCTGCCTTAACTTGCTGGCATGTCAAACAGCGTGAGACAAAGTCTGCCACATCCTTTTTCATGCCATCCCACCAATACAGTTGTTTCAAATCTTGATACATTTTAGTTGCTCCTAGGTGCACGGTATATGCAGAATGATGAGCCTCTTCCATAATAAATCGCTTCAAGTTTTCCTCTTGTGGTACACAAATTCTACCCTTGCACTTTAATATTCCTTCTTGATCAATTTCAAACTCAGTGTTACTTCCAGCTATGACTGCTTCTTTTAACTTGCATAATTTTGGATTTGAGAATTGAGCGCTCTTAATTTGATCCATTAAAGAAGAACGAACTTGTACATAAGCCAGAAATGGTCCCTTATCAATAATTTCAAACTTGACTCCACTCTGCTCAAGTTTATGAATTTCTTGCACCAAAGGCCTCCTTGTCAAAGTCATATGCACCAAGCTACCCATCGATTTTCTACTTAAGGCATCAGCCACCACATTTGCTTTGCCAGGATAGTAAAGAATTGTACAGTCATAATCCTTCAGTAACTCTATCCACCTTCTTTGTCTAAGATTAAGATCTTTTTGTTCAAAAATGTACTTTAGACTCTTATGATCAGTATAGATTTTACATGTCTCACCATAAAGATAGTGACGCCAAATTTTTAATGCAAAAACAACTGCTGCCATCTCTAGGTCATGGGTTGGGTAGTTCTACTCGTGTTTCTTAAGTTTCCTTGAGGCATAAGCAATAACTTGTCCATGCTGCATTAAAACACAGCCTAAACCCACACGAGAAGCATCGCAATAAACTGCATACCCTCCATTGCCTGATGGTAAACTCAAAACTGGTGCCGAAGTCAAACACTCCTTTAACTTTTGAAAACTGTCTTCACACTTGTCACTCCATTCAAATTTCACATTCTTTTGAGTTAGTCTTGTCAGTGGAGCAGCTATTTTAGAGAAATCCTTGACAAAACGACGATAATATCCTGCAAGACCTAAGAAACTACGAATTTCTGTAACAGTTGTTGGTCTTGGCCAATTTTGCACCGCTTCTACTTTGCTTGGGTCCACTTGAATACCATTTTTAGAAACAACATGTCTTAAAAAGGTAACTTTATCGAGCCAAAATTCACATTTAGAGAATTTGGCATAAAGTTGTTGTTCCCTCTTTGTCTGTAAAACCATCCGTAAATGATGTTCATGCTCCTCTAGGCTCTTTAAGTATATCAGAATATCATCAATAAAAACAATCACAAACTTATCAAGAAACGGTCTAAACACCCGATTCATTAGATCCATAAAAGTTGCCGGTGCATTAGTTAACCCAAATGACATTACTAGGAATTCATAATGACCATATCGGGTTCTAAATGCAGTCTTAGGTATATCCTCTTTCTTGATCTTTAATTGATGATAACCTGAACGTAAATCTATTTTGGAAAAATACTGAGCTCCTTGCAACTGATCAAAAAGATCATCTATTCGAGCCAATAGGTACCTGTTTTTCACCGTCACCTTATTAAGCTGCCGATAATCAATACAGAGTCTTAATGACCCATCTTTTTTCTTCACGAAAAGTACTGGTGCTCGCCAAGGGGATGTAATAGGTCGAATGAATCCCTTATCTAACAGTTCTTGCAATTGAATCTTTAGTTCTCTCAGCTCAGAAGGTGCCATTCTATAAGGTGGAATAGAAATTGGTTGAGTGTCCGGAACTAAATCAATGGCAAATTCAATCTCTCGATCAGGTGGCAATCTAGGTAACTCTTCTGGAAAAACATCAGGAAATTCCCGAACAACAAGAATTTGATCCAAACTAACAGTGGATTTATCAATGTCCCTTATCACCGCTAAAAACCCTTGACAACCCTTCTGTAGTAATCGTTGGGCTTTTAAAGCTGAAATAAGATTAGTAGGTCTTTCTATAAAACTCCCTTGCAATACAAAAGGAGTTTCACCTAGAATATCAAATTTCACTACTTTCAAGTGACAATCAACGGTAGCATAGCAAGAAGCTAACCAGTCCATGCCTAAGATGGCATCGAAATCAATCATATCAAGCATCATCAAATCAATAAGGGTTTCTCTACCCTCAAGAGACACTTCACAAGACTTATACACATGAGAAACAATTAAAGATTCCCCTACTGGGGTACCAACTACAAATGAATTATCAAGTTCGGTAGGTTCTTTGCTCAACCTCTTAGCAAAATAAGCAGACACATATGAATGAGTTGATCCAGGATCAAATAATGCATAAGCTTGATTGGAACACACAGTTATAATACCTGTAACAACAACATTTGAGGCTTTAGCATCCTATCTTGTCATGGCATAAACTCTCGCCTGCCTTTGTCCTAAGGAAGATTGTCCTCGCTGACCATTTCCCCTTCCAAATTTACCCCTGTTAGCTGAAGTAGAAGCAGTTCTAGCAGGTGGGATTGATGAGGAAGTAGGGTGAGGAGAAGGTTGAATTGATCCGTGGCTTGACACAGACTGTAGATATGGACAATTTCTTCTCAAATAGCCCGTCTGTCCACACTCAAAACATACATCAGACACTCTATAGCACGGTCCCAAATGATATTTTCCACAACTATTACAAGGGACTCTAACATAACCCGATTGATTCGGCACTAACTGGGCTCGAGGTCTCACATTACTAGAATTTGGTCTCACGACGGGAGTGCTTACTGATGGTGAACCAAATGATCTAGGCTTAGATTGTGAGGCACGAAAGTGAGATTGACTTGAAAATTGATGACTCTTGGAAGAAGAACTGAGAAATTTCTCATCATGCTCCCTTTTACGTTTTTTAGAAATTGCTTCCTCTGCCTTATGTCGATTCTCAATTCTCAATGCACTATCAACAATCTCAGCATAGGTGATATCACGACTCAACATAGGTGCTATGTTGTCATGTATGTCGACTGGTAATCCTTGTACAAACCTGCTAATTCGTTCCTTTTCAGTCGGTATAATATGAGGAGAAAAAGAGGATAATTCAGTAAACTTCTGGTCATATTCTGCTATAGACATTCCTTTACTACACTTTAAAGTCAGAAACTCTTCAACTTTTGCGTCTCTAGTACTCTGAGGCAAATAACAATTCAGAAATGTAATCTTGAATTCCTCCCAAGTTAAAGAAGGTACTCTAGTCGCATGCAAACCTGGGACTATTTTTGCCCAAGTACTTGCTACTCCCTAAAGCTGAAACACTGCAAACTCGACATACTAAACATCAGGGCATCTTAAGGCCCTACATCTCTTCTCTATTCCTTCAAGAAACTCCATCGGGTCCTCCCGTGCATTGGTTCCTGAAAAAGATGGTGGATTTAACTTCATAAACTCTGATAACTTAACTGTGGGATTCTCCTCTGTTGTATTATGTGTTGAAAGAACGGTCTACTCCTCAGATTGAGGACTTACTTGTTCACTTCTAGAAGGAATATCTTGTAGGTGCCTAAGGGTTCGACCACCCCTAGCCCTAATCCTACTCTGACGCCGTCCTCTACCTCTTAAGGGCATATCATCTGTCAGAGAGATTCTGCCAGAGGCTCTACTGCTAGTGGAGCTCCTGGTAGATACTCGACGTCTGGGTGGCATATTTCACTATATAAAGAAATAAAAGAAATATTTAATTCAAAATACAATTCCTTTATATAATAAAAAGTCAATAACAAAAACAAACATCGTTCGAAAACTTCCTATGGAACTCCCAATGATGTCTCAATTATAATTATACCCGGGTTCATAATGATAATTGAAACCTCACTGGCAAGTTCTTGCTCCAGATAGTTATATATGTAAAAACCTTGGCTCTGATACCAAAACTGTCACGCCCTAAAATAGAGGGTGACCGGCACGGGTGTGAATTACTTTCACATTCCCGTAAGCCTTAGAATGAATATTTATTTCATTCCTCAAGAAATGCAAAGTTCAATTAAACCATATGAGAATTTAAACAGCTTTTTTAAATTCATTATCATAAGAAACTGTCAATATTTTTGTAGAAATTTCGGCAAAACCTCCCCTGTAATTAGGATCTCCTAAAAATTCTACAACAAAATTTTTTTTACAATAACAGTATAATTCAGGAGCATAGCTCCTCCCAGCCATCAACCAATATACAGACCAAAAATAAGGTTTATTCACCATCTATGTGGAGCATCTACTTTTTCTTTCAAATCAAAACGACATACCAATCATATATTTACATTAAAATTACAATACCAATCAAAAAGGGTACACCCACTGTAGCTAATTGCCCTTTCTGAGGTCGTTGGTGGGATTAGCGTCAGCTAACAAATCTGAGACCAAAATAATTTTTCCAGTGAATAGCATTCCCATAAAATTTCTTAAAATTTTTAATCAATAAATTTCAATAATAGTGTCAGCTAGTTAAAAACAATGCTATCAAAATTTATAAACACATGAATCATAACCATATTTATGAAATAAGAGTAAATTGAGAATAATTTATATTATCATGCTTAAAGAAAATGATCTGTTCTCATATAACTCAAAATGATACTAATTATTAGTTAAAACCGGATAATTTCGAAAACACATATTAATTCACATTTAAAATTTTGAGAACTCAACAGAACAAGTTACAAACGTGAACACTCAGTTCATGAGGGTAAATAACCACACGCGGCTTCTGCCACGAAAACAAACGTGGACACACCAATCCACGAGGGTAAATAACCAAACGCAGCGGTAGCTACGAAACAAACGTGGACACACAGTCCACAAGGGCAAGTGACCAAACACGGCTCAAGCCACGGAATCAAACGCGGGTATGAAGCCCATGAATACCAAACGTGAGAATAAAACTCACGAAACAAACTAGCTAGTGTTTAACCACAGCGCGCTACGGGCTAACGGAACTGCCGTTAACAACAGTGTTCTGATTTGAGTCCTCTTAAAAATCACGTTTCAAACATACGAGAAGAATAATTGTTGCTGTAATAAAATTACCATTCTCAATGCCAAACTCGCATGAACTGTTTCAATTCTCAAAATTTGCAAAAGTCATATTTTTATGGCTAATATACCAAACTTGCAGTAATTGGATAGCCAATACATTCCGAAGCTTAACAACCATACAAAAATACTTTCATCAATCCGGAAAATACACTTTTGAAAATAATAAGTGCACATATCATAACTCATTTGTCCTTCATTGTCATTGCATAATTTTCAAAACTAATATAATTCATAAGAATAAAATATTCCAGAAAAAGGCTATTAAAATAAATTAAATGGAATGCTATTCACTTACTTGTTGAAGTTTCAAATTCTTAAAATATTCCTTGCCTTTAATTCTGGTCAGGATCTCGTTCTTCCTCGCACCCTATCAGAATATATATATATATATAATAAAAATGAAATTTTTAACATAATTCCAAATCAATCACCATTATAATTAGAGTTGATCCAAGTGTTATCGTTAACATCACTAGTCCCCATCAATTTCGTTTTAGTTAAACCATCCATTCATGATTCCATAGCTTGCATACTTATATACTTCTCCCACCAAACTTTATCCTTCATACTTGCAACCTTCCCCATATATATATACATTTATTTTTATAGGTTTTGCACCAATTACTTTAGGTGCATAAATTCTACTTAATTAAATTAATTATCCAAATCACTCTCCTCCTCCCTTACCTTAATAGTTTCTTTAATCATATTCAATTCAACTCAAATCCATTTAGCCCATAAAATTATGACCCAGACCCACACACATATATATAGCAAGTCTTTGAACAAACTTCCAACTTAAATTTGAATCTTCTCCCTCCTATAACAGCATGGCATAATAGTAACAAGAAGCATGCATGATATATATACTCCTCTCTCTCTCTCTTTTTTTTCTCAGCCACGTACAGCCATAAACAGTCACAGGGAAGCCAAGTTCTTTTTTGTTACCGGTTCACATATATATTGAGTAAAACGTGAAGCCTTCTCACCTTGACTCACCACAACAGAAAACCAGGATGAAGAAATTGAAACAGCCGGTTGAACAGGGGAGATATAATCCAAACACTGTCACGATGCACAGCAACGAAAGGAGCTTGACTCCACAGCACCGATACAAGCTTACAATAATAGCTCTACTCTAGTTTTGATGCTTTGTGATTTTTTCAGCTCAAAACACACGGACTGAACAGCATACAGAAAAATGCAGAAACAGGGAACACGTAACGGTAAAGCAGAGCATAAAGCTCACAGTTGAGCTGGGAAAGAAAAGAATCATGAATCCAGCTCCAACAACTAAGTCTCACAGTGGCAGCAACCCAACTGACGATAGAAACCGAGCAGCGACCGAACTCAATGAAGACAGCCAGAAACAGACAGAGAACGATAATAAAGACAGGGAACACAGAAAAAAACAAACCAGAGAAACTTTAGCTTCGACTGCACCAGCCACCACCGTGAACAACAAGGAAGATGAGTCGGTGATCTCTGAAACAAGAAAAGGTCAGAGGTATAGGAAGGTTAAGTCGGTCATATTCTCAGGCTCTCATTCTCTCTCTGTTTTTCTGGAATGGCCGAGGAAGAGAAGGAAGCTTTTATCATTTTTTGAAAAGGGAAATTTTGTAATTTCAAAGAAGCTGAAAAAAAAATAAAATTCCCTTTTTGTTGCATCAGGGATTTGAACCGGAAACCTTCAGTTGCTTGGCATACATTCTTCCATTCTACCAATACTCCTTATTGTTATAATTATCCCTAACATAACTAAAATATATTCATATAATTAATTCAATAAGTATATATATATATATAGATTATTTAAGGCTATTACAAGCTAGGGATCTCACATTCAATCCCCTTTATTTAATATACATTCATTCTACTCATAAAGAGCTAGGTTTGATAATCGTGGCGTGGGGATGACAACTAGAGGTGTTTTCTTTTTCAGTGTAAGACCAAACTTCTCTGATATATCCAACTTTTGACCTTGTGGTTGTTTCCAGTCAAATAAATGCATCAATGTCGCAACGCAATACATAAAGGTCCTTTCTGCCATGGCCATTCCTGCACATATTCTTCGCCCTGACCCAAATGGTAAATAGCTGAAGTCACTTCCTTTGTAGTCATATTGAAGAGAACCCAAGAACCTAGTCGGATCAAAGAGAAGAGGATTGTCCCAAAATGAAGGATCTCTATGTAAGGCCCACACATTCACAAAAACACGAGAGCCTTTTGGGATTGTGTAGCCTCCTATAATGGTGGCTTCACTTGGACAATGAGGAACCAATAATGGAACTATAGGGTGTAACCTTAATGTTTCTTTCATGACAGCATGTAAGTATGGTAGATTATGAATATGCGACTCTTCTACCTTGCCATTCTTTCCCACTACGCTATCCAATTCTTCTTGAACTCTTTTCGTCACCTCTGGTTCGTTTATCATATGAGCCATTGCAAACTCTATTGAGTTAGAGGATGTGTCAATTCCACCTATCAGCATATCCTGTTCATAGTGAAGTAATTAATAAATATAAAAAATCAATAAATTGAATTGATAAAAATTTTATCAACATTAAAAATGATGTGCAAAAATAATTTTTTCAAAAATATAATCTACATTACTTGAACACATAAATCTTTAAATAAATTAAAAGAAATTTAAGGTTGAAACTAGAAAGAAAGATACCACGAGGAGCGACTTAAAGTTGTTCATGGTAAGTGGCGTCTTAGAATGTGGTTCGCCCTTCAATTTCAACAAGTAACCGAAAAAATCATTACTGTCTTCTGATCCTTCGCTTCCATTCTCCTTCTTCACCTTCTGTCGTTGCTTAATCATCTTTTCGAAAATCTGATCAAACTCCCGAACCAACAGACGCACACGTTTCTCAACACCTTGCAAGTCAAACCAAGCCAACCCAGGAAAAAAATCTGATACGTTAGGCTTTGCAATTAGCTCCATCACAAGGGTCATCACTTCTCTGAACTCTGCTCCCACCATTACAGTCCTTTCATCCCCTTCCACCGTTGTCGTCCCACCCCAAATCATCCTTGTGGTCATGTTCAACACTGTAAGAAACACTTGCTTTCCAATATCCACCGGAAACCCGACCCGATTATAGAGATAACCCACAGTTTTCTGGAACTCCTTGCGACAGAGTGTAAAGACGGAACTCAAGGTGTTGCTGTTGATTATCCATTGCACAAGCACTTTTCTCAACATTCGCCACTCAGGTCCGTAAGAGGAAAAAACTACATCGCTTCCGCCATAGGTAATGATCCTGCCGGCAACAGGGACGTCACGGTTGGCGAAAACGACGTCATGGTCTTTGAGAACTTGTTGAGCCATTGAAGGGGAGGTGATGACGACGCCGTATTTGATACCGAGTCGGAGTGAGAAGATTGGACCATAGGTTTGAGAGAGAGAGGCGAAGTAAGAGTGAAGATTGGGATCGAGAGAGAGAAGATTGCCGATCAAGGGAAGACCTGGTGGACCCGGTGGTAGGTTGGGATTGGGTTTGGTGAAGAAGATGAATACGTACCAAGTGAATGAGAAAATGCTCCAGAGAGCTAGAAACAGAAGGCTGAGAGAATCCCACTGGTTTATGAAATCCGTCAGGTTCTGAAAGAAAGTTGGTAGTGGCAACATCATTGGATCGATACTGAGATTTCTGAAGCAAGAGGGATGCAGCATAATGGTAGAGGCATCAATTTTATAAGAATAGTGAGTAGATTTCTTAAGCAAAATGTTGTGATTGATTAGTAATACCACACCAACTTGTGCAAATGTAGCTTGTCTTATTTCTGTTGGGGAGATTCCATTTGCACGATGCAAATAAAATTCTTCGTCTTTATCTAAACCAGTTTCTGGACCAGAAAGGATTGTGTTCAGTTTGTACCTCAACCACACACATACCGCTCGTTCCTTGCACAATCAATATCATGTCAAATGAAACTAAAAAAAAGTTTCTCTGGGGAGCATTCAATTTTTTAAAGAAAAAAAAAACATAATTTGGAGAATTATATAGTCATATTATTTCATTAAAAATAACGTACAAGTAAGAATTTGATTTAAAATTTAATTTCATAATAAGTAAGATTAATATAAATTATTATAATTTTTTTATTTTTCATAGGTATCGTTTTATTAAAGGTAATTGTGTTTGAAATACAATCCATACATATTTATATTAGTTTTAATTAGAAATCTACACGTCATTTTGTTTTATTTTATTCTATTTTTATTTTGTTATGGTTATAATTTAAATTATAATATTATGATGACACTTATTATGAATAATTCAGGGATGCTCACATCAATAAAATCATGGAAAAGTGGTGCCAACACATATTTCAAGTATGGATCATGCAAAATTCATGCATTAATCCTCAATGAGTGCACATTTGATCTAGAAGCAAAAGGAATGTGATTTAGGATGGGATTGTTTTGTTGTTTCATTTTTTAGGATAGGATTGTGATTTAGGAATCAGATTTGTGACTTTTTAAGCAAAAGGAATAAGTATTTTGATTGAATTTTGGTTTCTTTGCAGTGAGAGAGAGAGAGTGAGTTTTCTTTTAATGTTGAAACAATGTTGTTGATAATAATGCTTGCTGGATTGTCTGGGATTGAGTAAGTTTTGATTGTCTAGGATTGTTTTGGCTGTAAATTGTCAATTCTATTATAGGGGAACTGCTTAAAACGTAGCTTCCACATTAAAAAAATACTAGAATATATTTGACAGTTATTTTAATAACTATCAAATATATATATATATATATATGGGCATATTTGATGGTTATATACATAATAACCATCAAATATGCCCTTCTAACTTTGCACTAGATTCTTTTTTAGTACATTATACTTGACGATTACTAATAACTATCAAGTATAGGTGTTGCTCACCGTAAGTGTATGGGTTGTCGCAAATAATATAAGATAGATAAAGTATCGTTCTCTCAAGGATTTGTTCAAAATAATGATGATCAAATAAAATACTAAGTGAGTTCAATTAAATTGAGGCAAACATAATTAGGTCAAAATGATTTTGAAACTAAATTAAAACTAGAAAATAAAGAAAATAGATTGATTCACAAACTTCAAACACAAATTTGAATTTAGGATTATTGATCCCCCTTGTATCTCATAACACCAAAATTACCTCCTCTCCTAAATGCTTTTAATGAAAATAAGTGCTAACGTAAGGTTCTAAAAATACTTGGACAAGCTTTCTTAAGTCATAAACAAGTGTTTAGTTAAATTAATTGCCCAATCTCTTGTTACAATTAATAAAACTCAATTTTAAACACCAACCCTAATGTGGCTGTACAAGGTTAGCAAATATATCTCCATCTTACAAGCAAAACCATCCATTCAACATGCAAATATCAAGTTCTTGCACAATTTTACCTAAGTTCTACACTTAACCTAACCCTCTCAGGCATCAATTAAGTGAACCCAATATCTAAATGGACACCAATCACTTAGAAGCATTAAGAAAGAGTAAAATAAATACACACACACACACACACACACACACATCATTAATCATAAAAAAGAGGACGAACATAATATTGATCCATACAAGGGTTCAAAATAACCCTAGAATAAAGTGTTTAGCTATCCATAATCATTCAAAAGATATAAATACACAAAATATTTGGACCTATATCAAAATATAAGACAGAAAAGGGAAGAGGAACAGAAAAACCTAAGAAAATGAGCTTTAAATGTCTTCAAAACTCTATTCTCTTGGACCCAACTCTTCCAATGCCTAAACCCTAGCACAGAAAGCTCCAAATATTATTCAAAATTTGAAGAATATATTCTGGGTTGAGCTTTCAACATATATATATCCTAGCCAATCAATTTCTAATAAATGAAGCATAGCATTTTTCTGATAATGGCAAAAGTTGTGAATGAAGGTTGCAACTTTCTAACGACTTTGGCATTTTTGAACTGTTTTAACAATTAATGAAATTTATCCTTTTTACACTTAATTTCTTCATCCAAAAACCTTCCAAAAATATCAACAAAGCTCCAAAAATGCATCTAATCAAATCTTAAACTAAAATAACACCAAAATCAAGCTGAAAATATTAAATTAAAGCTAAGAATGTAAACCCAAAGTAAAATACACATTTTTCTAATTTGGGCAATAAAAGATATATACAAATGAGATAAAATGGATTAAAATCTAAAGAAAATGATGATGAAATGACATGAAATTTTAGAGGTTAACAATAGGGCCACATATTTGATGATTGTTTAACTGTCAAGTGTATAAATGAAGAGAGCTTATTTGGCAGTTTTTTACTATCAAATATAGGAGAAAATAGCTATCCAATATGCTCAATTCCGTATTAGTGCCACTTCACTTGTGAGGCTCCCAATATAGGAGCCATGATAGAAATAAAATGGTAAGAACATGCATCAAACTAGTTTTTATGGAATAATCCAACAGGTTTTAAAAGAAAGTTGGTAGAGACATCATCCTTACTAGCTATATATTTTTAAAGCAAGAAGGATAATAAAAGAACTTGATGTGGAAAAAGGTGTTTTGGATTACTAGAAAAATAAGGTACAAGGTTATAATAATTGCAACTTATGAATTAAAAATGAATCTTAGACTAAATATGGAGTATAAGGTAATCTGATCTAAGCTATGGTTGTTTCTAACATCGATGATTGATGCTTGATAATGCCACCCCTGTTGCTAGTTTAGGCTCCTTTTATAATCGTTTGCTTGAGACTATTGTGCCATAAGAATTCATAGCTCGTGTGTGAAATATCTATGATCACTTAGCATGGCCTTGCGAGATTCATAGCACATAGATAATGCTCTCATGTCCACTCAATGGTCTCTCATACCTAGTCGCTCTAAGTCTTAAGGATCATGCTGAGCACATGCATGGCACAACTCTTTTTAGGAACGAGCCAAGCCTTATCTTCATTTGAGCTCCTCATTTCAATTTTCCTTCCTTTTTTCCACTTTAGGCTAATGCTTTATTGAGTTATAGGGTTACTTGCATAGTGTAATATCTTAAGTTTTCAAGTTGGGAATTATAAATATTTACAAAGGTATTTTAGTCAATTTAGATAAACTATTGATTAATAAGAATTATAGGAGATTAATATAGTTTTTGAATCCTTAGATAGCTTTAGGAAAAGACTAGGTCAATGTTTGAGCGGGCTATGGCACAAAAGAAAGTTTAAATTTTAGTGGGACTTTCTGTGCCATGCACCACAGCGGGCGTGTCAATGCATCGTGATGCATGTACAAAATCAGCACTTATCAGTTTGCAAAAAATAGACCAGAATTAGAGAAAGAAAGAGAGATATCATGATGAGGGATAGAGAAAGCTCATGGTCTATTAGGGCTTGACATTGGGAGGGATTTGGAGGCATTTGGAGCTTTAATAATTATTGGGTAAGTTTCACATTCCCTCTTCTCCCTCTTTTATGCAAAATTTATGACTTAAGAGGTATTGCGAGCTTGTGTTCAATTTTCTTAGGTTTAGACTGAATCCATTGGCTTATTTAAGATCTTAAGGAGTTAAATCAAGTCTCTAACCTTAGGTTTATGAGTTTTATGGTGATTTAAAATTTTGTTGAGGGTTTGGATGAACCCTAAGCATAATTTAGAGGTTTTAAGATAATGTGGGGAATTGAATGAGGACTTTGGTATGTTGGGATGTTTAATAGGATGGTTAGAATGTTTAAAACAGGTTGGTATCATTAGGTAAGGAATTTGGGTGTTATAGGTACTTAGAACCTAGTGAATTTAGGGTTTATCTAGAGTGATAATTAATGATTGTCACTGGATTGCATAAATTGAGTGTTGCTAGAGCCTTATCGTGTGTATAGAGTGTGTGGAGCTAACGTTGAGTGACGATAACCCTTTTGTGTGACAAAGAATTGAGGTAATGGAAGAATTTACACTAATTAATTATATTGCTTAACTATTTATGAGTAGGTAAATATATTTGTTTACATGCATTTTGAAAGCTTAGCATGTTGTGAAAAATGATTTACTTGTGCATTAGAAACTACTTTCAAAATGGTAAAGAATCTTAAGTCTTTATGTGAAAAGTGTAGTGATATTTCATAAGAGTAAAATGTGTAGTAAGAATGAGCATGATCATGTTAAGGGGTGGGAGTTCACCCATAGGAAGGAGTAGTAGAAGTCCATATGGCATGTATCTCCTTAGTGTCTAGTGAGGCATGGTATTGGAGATTTTCTCCCTAGTATCCATGCGGGATATGGCATTGGAGAGTGACACTCCTTAGTATCAGTGATGCGGTATTAGAGTAATAATACCCCAATTCATGTGCGATGGGGAAGACCATAGTCCTGAAGTAGGATAAGACATCTTTGGTCAGGTGATCCTACCACTGAAGGTGAGCTTAGATCATTGTGAATGTGCACTTGATTCAAGAGCCTATAGTTTCAATCAAGATAATATGGAGACTAGGATGGTAGAATGATCATGCTAGTAGTAAATGATTTATATTTATGAAAAAGAGTATGATGTGATATGCTAAAGTATATTTTGATGCTTAATAGCTTTACTCCTTATGGTTGTGCATGTTAATTAATAGTTAATAGTAGTGAATTATTCTATTATTGAGATGTTTATCTCACCTCATGGTTATATTTTACAGGTGAGGGCTCTGGTAGGGGCAAGGGGAAGGAAGCAACAAATGAGGAGTAAAGAGTATTGTTATATAGCTCTTCCCTTTCCTCTTTTTGGGTTTGTAATGAATATTGCCATTATATAATGCCAACTTAGGAGCATGAT